TATGTTTAGTTTAGCTTCACAACATATTTAAAATTGGATTTAATAAAATATATTAATTAATAAATATATTTTATAAATTATATGTGTTATAATAAAAATTTAATTAGGTTAGAAGATTGATTTGCTTATTTTTATATAATTTTTAAGGTTAAATATCAACAATGCTTAGCGATCATAGTAAAAACCTATGCTTAGAGCTACTAATAAAAAATATTTTTGGGACCTTACCTATATAAGTATTTTTCGGGGTTCTGATATATTATATAGGGGAATACAGCATGAATACTGTACATAATAAGATATAAGATTTATAAAGTATCTAGGATACCTGCCATATATAATATCCGGATATATTTAATAAATTTAAAAAGTAAGAAAAATTACTTTTTCAGAAAAAAAGATTCATATAAATCACATTTATCTATTCCCCCTATTTTTATGTAATACATAAATTCTTTAAAATAATAAACACATATTTTTTTCTGTCTTTTATTTGTGATGTAAATTTATTTTAAAGTAAAAATAGTTGTTATTAGAAACAGAAAAAATTCAAAAACACGTAATCGCTTACCATAAAAGAAAAGAAGTTTAATAAGCATATCAATATTCAGGAGAATATAACTTATAAGACTTATAAGGATATTATTAACAATAGTAGTATTAATAATACTATATATATTGTACATAATATTTTTTTTTATACTTCTCTTAAAATAAATATGAACATAAAATGCTTTCTTGTCCATATGAACATTGTGAGAAAACTTTTTCAAAACGTGCTGCTCTTCATGAACATACAAAATCACATAAAGGCCAAGCATACTGGAAAATATTAAATAATATTTCAGACATTTCTAATTCTACTCATGTTAAAAATGTAGAAACTGTAAGTTTCTTACTATTCCTTTTTTATATATCATATGTATTGTACGACCAATTAATGTAATTTTTTTAAAAAAGAAAATTAATATCGAAGATGATGATACCGTAATAAACATAAATGAATGTGATCGTGAAGATGATGGAAGTGAAACAGCGATGAAAATAAGGAAAGTAATAATTTAGAAGAAAGTGATAAAGAAAGTGATAATTGTGATATAGAAAGTGAAGAAAATAATGAAAACAATTTTGAAGAAAGCAATGGACGTGAAAGTGACATAAATGAAACTATCGAGGCTGAAGAAGAAAATATTGAGAATATTCCTAATTTTATTTTATATAATCCTGAATCAAATCAAACAACAGTAATTGATATAAGACCTGTTAGTGTAAATTGTAATACATTGCAGTTCCCTGATACAGCTTATGCTGAATTTATGGAACTTGTATCAACACATCATTTATCTAATTCAGCTGGGAATTCTGTATTGAAATGGTTTTGCAAACATTATCTTCAAAATAATGAATTTAGAGCTCCAAACAGATCAGCCAAATTCAGGTAACCTGACCTGACCTGACCTGAAATTCAGGTCAGGTATGAGATTTTTAAAAAAAATTCAGGTCAGGTATGAAGATTGACCTGACCTGATTGACCTGTTGACCTGAAACTATTGATTCTACTATATAATAAAAGTGAGTTGCAGTATTGCGATTCACTTTTTTATAT